GTGTGACCGTGTGTGTGTGTGTGTGTGTGTGTGTGTGTGTGTGTGTGTGTGTGTGTGTGTGTGTGTGTGTGTGATATATTTGTTATTTAGCTATCAATCTGTTGCTTTTAAGCCACACTTGTAGTTCATAAGAAATCAGACAGTGGGTCTTGTAGACGCAGTTGCGTGATGAAAACTGTATATTTTTCTTCTCTTACCCACAGAGTCGTCGGGCCTTTCCATGTGACGTGTGCAAAGAGGGAAGACAATGGGAGGGCTTTTACCCGCAGTTTATTTTTCAGTCTGAGTTGTTCACAAGAGACAGACCGTGTCACAATCACATCAACTGGATCCAATGTCTTGTCTTTTTGAAGTATACCCCAGCCCTTTTGCTTTAAGCTAGCCTTTTGCCGCTTTAAGCTTTTCACTAGCCTTTTGCTATGTTGGCTTTTTGCTACTGTTGGATTAGTTTTAACTAATCTAATGATAATAATAATAATAATAATAATAATAATAATAATAATAATAATAATAATAATAATAATAATCTAATAAACTAGTTTTTTTTAGCTATACTGTTCAGCTACTTTTACCATTTAGCTAGGCTTTGCTACTTTTACCTTTACGCCTTTACGCTACCAGTCTACTTATTTTAGCATTTAGCTAGACTTTTGTTACTTTTAGCTTTTGTTTTTCAACTTCTAGCTACTCTTCTACTATTTTCATCTGGCCTTGTGATATTTCTAGCCTTTAGCTACCATTCTGCTACTTTTAGCAACCATTCTGTTACTTTCAGGTTTAATTTTAGCTTGCTTGTAATAGCTTTAGCTTTTAGCTACAGTTCTGCTACTTTTGGCTAATCTTTTGAAACTTTTAGCTTTTAACTAGCCTTTTGTGATATTTTTAGCTTTTAATTAATGTTTTGCAAATTGCGACTTTTAGATTTGTTCTTTCACCTTTTGCATTTCAGGTTCATATTGTTTAGCAAGTTTTATCAAAGCCTTTTAGTTTAGTTTCTTTAGTTTGTTATAATTTTCATTCATTTTAACATTTTAAATGTTTAAACTTTGTTTGTTTACCTGCTTTAAGTTTACCCAGGAGGACTTAGTACAACAATACACCCACACTAGCTCTAAAGAGTTTTTAAACTATTTTTATCACTCTTCAGTTAGTAAATCCAGCCCATAATTCCCTTCTTTAATCCCAGTGGGAGGTGTAAACTTTGCTCACCGCTCGCCTAAATAGTCTCCAATAACTGTCTTGTTGAGGCCCTCGCCTTTGTAGAGGAACTGGGAAATGTCTTCAGGAGTGTGCTGCAGGAGGTCGTTCTCCAGCAGAAACTGGATTCCCTGAAAGGAAGCAGTTAATGGGGGTCACAAATGGATGACGGTAAAATGATCGCAAGGCAGGATATTTCACAGCGGGTACCTTTTTGGGATCCATGTTGAATTTCTTCCTCCCCATAGCGATCTGYTTGTTTCTCTGGGAGGTTTTGCTGGAACACAAACAGAAGAGAGATTTAACAGGGAAAAAGTGCTTTATTTAAAATGAAACCACACCTAAATACAAAATGTTTTAATAAAACATTTTATAGGCTTGAATGTTGATGTCTAAACGTGAATGACAAACACAAACACAGATAAAATTAGTAAACTTAACATTTACAAAACACAGATAGGTACAAAATGTTGAAATAAAATTAAATCAAAATGTTTATATTAAATTTCAATTATGTCCATTCTGTAGGTTATTACTATATACTGTACGTATTTGCAAGAAGTGAAAATCCCATTTGAAATAATTTTACATAAAATAATTAAAAGTACATACTAACGCTCCTTAAATAAACAGATTTCACTTACATCATGTTTCCAGCCTCTGGGTCATTTTTTAGTAGAAAAAAATGATCCACATTGGAGAACAAACACAAGAGCTCTAACAAATATAACATAAGGTGGGATAAAGAAAAAGCATCCTTACCTTTCCCCGACACACGTCAGTTGCTCTATTTCTGTCATAACTTCTGCAATCTCAAACTTTAACCTCTGAAAGAAACAGAGCAAAGCAGACTACAGTTTTCTTTCTTTATGATAAAAAAAGGTCTGCAGAGAGATCAGACTAATAAAAAACTGCCTGCACTGGACACTTAACCACTTCTTTATGAGCAAACTGAGATAAATGCATTTGAATAATTTACTGAATGCAAATAAAACTACAGTCCTGCTGCAGCCTGTCAGCAGTTTAATATTGTAAAAAAAACTTTAAAATGACACAAATTTTACAACAATATTTCAAAAGCAAATGAGCTCATTTCAGTGTATACAGTGGCGACTAAAGGTTTGGTCCAAAATACTGATTAAACTAAATGATAAAATCTCTATTTTCAGTAAAATTAGGACTTTRTTTTAGTGCTGAACCTAAAAGATGGATGAACATCTGCTTTTCTGGAAAAAAGAAAATCTTTCCTGCATCCTCAGCACCATTCTGGTGCATTTGGGAAACATCCCAATAAAATAAATTTGAAGCCAACCTTTGCACGGCGTGGCACACATTCTGCAGACAAATTATTAAAAGGAGATCAACCCAGCCACTGGTTTGGTGCTTATTGCATTCTGAACATACAGCAYATTGCATCGATCGTAACGAAAACACACCTCAATGTCATCGAGCAGCTCCTTCTTCCTCCGTCGGATGTTTGACAGCTCATCTCTCTCCTCCAGAGACAGATCATCTGGAACTGAAACACACAACATGCATTTCATTCGCACACGCCTGACGCTTCCTCTTTAAGTCAAGCAAAAGCAACAACAAAACCTGTCAAGTTCAGGATTTCCAAAGAAAACAAGAAGGACCAGAGTGAGCCGTAAACCCAGTGAAGTACCAATAAAATCAGGAGTTCGCAATAAATCAGCTTGAAGACCCTTCAGAATGAAGAAAGGAGCTGCAGCTGTTTCACCTCGTTCAGCTGGAATATCAGGAGCCTGAAGTTCGTCTTAATTAACCGGAGAACGAAAGAAGGCGAAGAGACTTAATTATTCCACTTGAAAGTGTTCCTTCACGTTCCTCCTTCTCTATTTGGCCCAAGGGGGGAATGCTATTAATAAAACTAATCCAGATTAAGGTTTTCTTTCATTAAATGAGAATTTTGCAGTTTAACGCAGCCTACGACCCCGATTCCAAAGCCCCAGAGGGTCTCGCAGCTCCGAGCAAATATGAGCTTCATATCTTAGTTTTGTTTTTCCCATTCCTTCATCCCGTGTTTGCTTTTAAATTTCCCCAGTGCGCACTTTACTTATCGGTTTCTGACATCTTTTTGAACTATAGAGTGTGGAAAATCCTGCTTCATTTGGCAGCAAAGAAGCAGAAAAAACAATATCAAGTGAAACTTTATGGCTACGTGTTGCTGGAAGTGAAAGGACAACTGCAGCCTTTCTTTTCTTACATAAGCAGGAATCTGCACTAATTACAGTTAAACAAGGTCACTGGGCTGAAGAGGAAGACACATTCAGCCTAAGAGCTGCACTCAGGGCAGCTAAATTATGTTACAGATGGTATAAAAACAACACTGAGGTACTTCCTAACCCTGTTGTTCAATCGTGAAGCACAGTGATTGGTAGCAGGTCTACAGAGGAGAGAGCTGTGGGGATCTCCTTTGTGAACCATGTTTATAACAGAGATCTGATTGAACAACGGTGTGAAAATAAAAAAGTTAATTAGCATTGCTAACCTCCAGCTACCTCTGAGCGCTGTGAGTAGAGCTAGTGGAGCTTTAAAGCCAATTAGTGCTTTCAAAAACTTGTTTCACACAACTCTTTTATGTTTTCGCTCGAGAAAGTTTCCTAAAGTTTTTGCCCACATTGAAGGAACTTGCATGAATCTGTCCTCCAACTACTGCTATCAAGAGGAAAAGATGTGTAAATATTCTAGGATATACAGATTAAAACCTAAGGCAACAGTCCAAAAGTTTCAAACATCTAGTTCTTTAGTAGGGCTGGGCAAACCTTTATTGTGTGTGGTTACTCATCAGAAAAACTGTTAATGATTAATATTTGCCACTATGCGATCCCTGCGATTAATACAGCATGATGATGACCTATGTGCGACACACTCTCACCATCACCCGCATGTGAGCTCATAACAATAACAATGATAGAAGGTGGGACAAAGCGGCTAGTTTCTAGACGAGGTTCAACTTCTGTTGTACTGAACTGGTTTGGCTACGTAAGCTCCTCCTTGAGCAGATCTGGGCCATTTTTGAGGTGCGCAGCAGCAAAGTGAAGCTAACATACGCTTACACTACAAACATTTTCAATCACCTGAAACACAACCATAAACCAGAGTTCAATGAAAGCCAGGAGATGCGGAACAAGGCCACAACTTTGGCCAGTGCTAATTCAAAACTTAGTTGCGCAATTTCTAAAGCCCTGGTCAATTTATTTAGGTCCACAAGTTCAAAAAGCGCATATGCTCATAACAACTTAGTGGAAGCTAATCAAAAATCACAACTCTGTCTCCGTTCACCAGAAAACATTCCAGTAACACTGTAAGACATGTAAGCAGCACAATACGGCCAACTAGTGGAATGATAATTTCCATTCACAGATTGGCATGTCGTTGCAGTTTGGGGAGGTGATTTGTTGAAACAGACTTTTGAGTCATAGTGTTAAAAAATAATTGTGGATTGCTAGTTCTGTTGCTTCATGGTCATTTTCTTGTTTATGGTAGGGCTTCRGTAAGAAACATGCAGATATATTAGTAATTTTAAACTGTTTATCGTRAAACTGAAGCAATGCATTCTGGGTAGCCTACAGGACRAACARGAACCCATTCATTTCAAAATAAGAGCATGAATTTAAAACGTTTCGTGTGAGCTTCAATACGACGTGAGACAGCAGGTTGGTGAAGATGCAGTGGGACATAAATTATAATTCCTCCCTCTCTCCTCCCAAAGCTCATATAAGTAAATAAACAACAATATTGAGCGCTGGATATTGTTTGTTTGTCACTCAGCTCCAGCTGCTTGCTGCAACACAAAAAATTGTGGGAACTCTCTACGAAATGAAAACCGCTGCACAGAAGGAGAGTCAGTGAGAGTATAAAGCTCTGTGAACACTATGCTGCCTGAGGGGTTGCTGTTTCCTCACAGTGTAGCTCAATTTTGTTGAGAAGAGATGACTTTCCTTCCAATGTTCAAGAAAATTATGATGATGCTTTAATGAATATTGCTACAGAACGAAGTGGGTTTAGACAGCTCTCTCCTTTTTCTTTAGACAATATTTACAATCAAACTTGCAATGCTATTTGCGATTAGCACTACTCAATTCTAAATTTAGAAAGCACAAATCCACATGTCACTTGAAGAAATTAGTAAAACCCCTAAAGCACAAAGGAGAAAATTAGGTCTGCAATTAGCGCTTTAGGGTACTAGTGCCCAACACTGACTGGCTATGGCAAACTCTCTTCAAGCAAATGAAGAAATCTACTCAGCTGATAATCCATGGTAAACTCAGTCTATTTGTCCCTTATGAGAAGCAAAGTAGGCACTTTTGCGTTACTACAGATACGCGGCCACTCCACATTGTGGAAAAGGTGAGTTTCAGTACACAGCTTACTATTTTTGACCGGTTAAAATAAAGACGTTAGCTTGACTGATATAATCTGAGAACACAGGGTGATTGATTTAGAGTCAACAATATGCAAGTGCAGTTGTCATCTATTAATCGTCATATTATCAGATAAATGGCTTAATTAATTGTGATGATTTTTTGCCCATATTGCCCAATCCTTTTCTTAAGGAAGAGCCAGATTGCTTCAAAATATCTGATCATTTCAATTGTTCTCTGCAAGCCTCAGGGCTGTGCATTAGCAAATAAATACAGTATATTATTGCAACATGTGTCTTGTTGTGAGCTTGGTGCTCACTTTAATAAGACTGCACCACCATTAATGACAAAGCATTGCCATTTCCTGTCAGTCTGGACTTCTTTAACTTCGTCTGCTTTAATGTCTATAAACCCACACATTTGATTACAGGGTGGCCATACTGTTAATGTTTCAGTACAAGTAGAGTTTCCTATACAGAGGTGGTCTACCAATTAAATTATTAACACAGTTCCTGTCTGTGACTCTATGAATAAGCCAAGACATGGTCATGGGGCTAGTTGGTACCATTTCACAGGCTCAAATCAATAACGATGAGAAAACAGCAGACCTTGTACTGTATGTGTTGCTGTAGATAGTGGSATAATTGCAGCTGGTAATAGAAAGCCACTGTAGAGGGGTTTAATACCATCATGTCCCCTCCATATAAAAAAAACAAAACTCTAGTCATTTTCCCCTAAAACCAAATCCCTTAAAATCTACTTTTAAAAGTAAATCCCCTGCTGCTCTTCACACCCAAAACTAACAAATGTTGCTGACCACCCACTAAACCCAGAGGCTTTAACGGTGGTTTAGCTGCTGCATAACTTCTACAATGTTTAGTTTGGTCACGTGAAAATCAAATAGCTAGGCTTAAAAAAAAAGAATCCAGCACCTCCCTAAAACCAATGCAGAGTGAAAACCCCACGCTCACTTAACATTGGCTCTAGTCCCATTCGTACTGACTCATGTGGCAGAGAGGAGTATTATCCAGATTCACTGGCATTACACTAGCGACTTTAGCCACCATAATGACTTTAAAAGTGGATAAGCTTTTAAAAAATTAGATAAAAAATAAGACTTTTTTACCCAATTTATCCCTGCAGCTCACTGCGTCACACACTAAAGGAAGTAGGAGGAGGAAAGACTTCCTCTGGATCCAGGCCCTAATTGAAAACCTCCTGTCCCCAATCCCTCTTAGTGTGGACAAAGACGTGCTCTGCATTACAGCCCAGGTCATATATAAAGACAGATGGACATGTGGCGGGACATGCACATGAGCTGCACCACGGCCAGCTGGCACTAATCCCACACACTCACCCTCCCCGACACGGTTAAGCTCAATATGAGTCTGTCAAAGTGGAAATGACGTGTGAAAGTGCAGATGATCTGGCTGGATAAATGCTATTTGACTACTTTAACTCTGAATAAAACAGTGTGACAGCGTGATTAGCAGTCTGGTGTAGCTTTCTGAAGCCAGACAGTGAAGCAGGAAGATCAGCAACGGAAAGAAGGCACAAGGTGAGGAGAACAAGGCTACAGGCAGAGACAGCCAGTTCGGATGTTATCAGTCCATTAAATGGACGTTATTAGCGGTTATTAGTCCCATAGAATTGCTTCACACTCTCCCGACAGTGCCCCCTAGTAGGTTACCAGTGCCATATACGTTGGAATGCACAATCTGCTACCGCCGGAGTCTGGTCTGCTTTATCGTAGCCCAGGTCATTTTCTCTACAATTAACCTYAGTGGCTTTATGCCTCATATTAACCAGCTGACAGTCTGAAGCCATTCTATGGGATGGAGAACCCACTAGGTGGCACAGTCAGGACAGTCTGAAGCTATTGTATGGGACTGATAACGGCTAATAACGTCCATTTAATCAATGGATGATAACATCAGAAGCGGGTGGCAGAGATGAGGGTCAAACTTATGGAAGTGTGGCAGTATGCACAGGAAGCATGATGATAAAGAAAAGGAAAGTTCAATCTTGATCTTTAGAAATCAGCATTAACAACATAATACTCGGAGTGTAAATCAGCTTTATCACGATAGGCTATATCRATTTGTTTGGATGACAATACAAAGTTTACAAAAAT